TTATTTATCAAGTTGACAGGAAATTGTGTAGCTACCACACCCAAATCACCAGTAAGTACCAATGCACACATATGGATAACATGTGTGAAAATTTTCAGATTGAAGAAGTTGGTAGAATTTTTCAATTTTTTTCATCACTAGTGGATGAATTGTAAATTTGAATAGTGCTTTTTATTAATTGGACTCCCTTGTAGACCTAAAAATAGTATCCTATTACAAACAGCATTGTACTTCATGATAGATCTGAAAATGATGAATGTGATTCCGTTCTTCTTGAATTTAACATGGCTGGCACAGTAAACCATATGATTATCCAGTCCCAAATGGCACCTACCTGTCCATTTCAGCTCCTACTGCATAGGATATTCATGTTTCTGTGTTCCATTTTACTTATGATTTGCTAGATTAATAATGCTACAACCTAATTCATTATGGATATTTGCAATTCCTTCTTCTCATTTTGAGTTGTGCCCAGAAAGCGTTGTTCCATCCACGGTATTAAATCAACTTACTTCGAGGAGACTACTTTTCCTCAGTTGCATTTTGGATGCCTTCTACGGTGCTCATTTTCTGGGACTATATTATTCAATTCCCTCTGTCATTCATAAAAATATCCAGTAAATAATCCCTCCAAAATGGAGAGCCTATTCTGTATCCTCCTAGCCTGTTCTTAATCTGGCAGCACCACTGAAAGCTGCTCACCAAGGGTGACTCTGCTTGTTTCAACAATACTGTTGGCATCATTTTTCTTCATCATCATAACAGGAGAGCTACCAAAGTATGGCCAACTAACATGAATGGTAGATAGGTATGAATATAGAGGTTTATTTCAAAGCAATTGCTTACACACTTGTGAAGGGTAGCAAGTCCCATATCCATGGGTCAAACAACAGGCTGGAAGTTTCTCCTGATGCAGGCGGTAGCAGGGGCTGATGAAATAAAGCACATACAGGTCTCACAGTATGCTTCGGTTTCACAGATTTCAGACGTTGATGAGACCTAAATCTATAGGTCAGGCTCACCTCCCAAGAGTCAGAGGATGATGAGCTGAATGCAAGATCAAATAAGTGTGAGCTTTGTCACAACATCCATGTGCCCGGGAGCTTCAAACCGTTTGTGGCAATTTTGAGTTGAAAGATAATGCACGCAAGTCCTATCCCCGAGGAAACTCCACTTTCAGTTCACTAGATAGAGGATGATCACACAGTGTTTACTAAACTGTGGACTATCATGGCCTAGTGACATTGATACATGACCTTCAACATTCCAGTAGATCACTGCCATTCCAAGAAATGCAGATTACATAAAAATTAAAATGCCTTTGTCACCCAAGTGCCTCTGTAGGCATGTTCTCATCAACCTCCTTGCGCTCAGATACCCTATGCCAACTCCTACCAACCAATGCTGTCTTTATCGTGTTGGTCTCTGGTGCACCATCGCAGCTGCCCATCCATGTTGACATCATTCTCATTTGCATGGGCGCTGACACCTCCCTCTTCAGGGCCATGGATTCTGCTCAAATGCTGACAGTCACTTTTCTTTTAGTCCCTGAGCAGTCAGAGGAAGGGAAGGGAACGAGAAGTCAAGAAAGCAGAGTGGAAAAAGGAAGAGCTTTGCCACTTAGTTTTGTCGCATTTACTGTATACACGGGGTTGCAGTTTTGCTATCTCAGGCGTTCTGCATTTTATAAAGTGCTGCAGTTTTAGAAATTACTTCAGTACCAATGTGCCAAGAATTCCTTAGAAACTTTTTATTTGCTTTTGTTTTATTTTCTCTTTTTTCTTTTCTTCTCCGCTTATAAGTATCGATAGCATAATGCAAAGTGAGTTGCAACAAAGCGCTTTGCTGAATGAACCGAAGGAAGGACAGGTGGAAGTGCTAGTAAGAAAGGGTGATTGACTGAAAGAAATTCCTGTATCTATGTAAGACTTAGTCTATTTCAAGAAGAGTTATAAGCCAGTTTCTTATTTATTATTACAATTATTTAGACTTTACAACAATAAGCCTATGAGTTAGTAACATTGCTTTCTGTATCTGAGATATGGGGTTACTGAGGCAAAAAGTAGTTTAATAAGTGCCCAAGTTCGTACAGCCGGTATGTGGTAAAGAAATGATTCAGACCTACTGACTGTGGCTGCAAAGTGCATGCTATGAACATACACACGTTACCCTACATAATTAGATGGATGGTACATAGATAATATACAAAATTGGAAGCAACAACATTTTCTGTGCCACTGGCCTAAACATATTACTATATTTTCTAATCATCTAGGTGAGATTGAATAAACTCTGGGCTAAATGACTAAGCTAAAAGCCTTGTGACTAACAAGAGGCAGAATGCATGCCCAGTTTCAGTTAATTTAACATTTCAAGCTAATTCAGCAATTAAGGCTTGTGAATGGTTATAGTTGCTTGGAAATGGAATTAACTGCCTTTTAAGGTGGTGTGCATCCCAAGACAGGAATGTTCAAGCAGAGGCTAGATTAATGCTACGGATCTTTTAGACGCACCAGGCACAGGGTTAGCTCAGCGTTTGCGGTGTAGGTGCTCATTTCAAAGGTGTTTCCAGGCATTTTTGATGGGTACATGTTTTACACACACACTCACACACACACGCACACTTAGGGAGAATTTTTAATAATTAGTAACTGAAAGGACTTTATATTATATAGGTGGCTTTAAAAGATTTTAAATTTTACGTCAAGTTTAAAAACTTTAAGGATGCCAAGTTGTTATGTCTTCCTTAATATACGTACTATTTCTAGTCGTGGAGAAGTAGTTTCTAATACATCATTATAACAGGCAGAAAATCACAGTTTCTGGGCTCAAAATATGTAAATTGAAGGCTTTCTGCTTGTTTACAACTTGTGGCAAGTCATTATAACCATCTGTACCTCCTATTTTTCCTTTGTAAAATAGGAACGATATTACTCTAACCTCATAGAATTGTTGTGAGGATTAAATAAGGTAAAACATATAAAGGGCCTATAAAAATGCCTGACATTAAGTGCTCAATAGTGTTCGTTATTGTTTTCTTGTAAAGTAACTAGCTATAAGTGAACATTTTATGAACTATAGCTATTGATGCGTCTGTATTGTGGAACCTGGCAGCACTATGATTAAGCACTCACCTGCAAAACAAATGGTTAGCAGTTTGAACCCACCTGCGGCTCCCTCAGGAAGAGAGTGGCGGGTGCTTCTGTTAAGATTATAGCTTTGGGAATCCGGTGAGATAGTTCTGCTTTCTCCTGTCAGGGTTAAGAGGAGTGGTAATCAACTTGACAGCAACATTTTTTTCTTTGTAATGTAAATTTATAGACAAAGACAAATATTACCTACAGGTTGCCTAATCCAAAATACTAAGTTGATTTGCTATTGATTGCTGCATTTAAGCCAAGTAAAGAAACCAGAAGGAAATATGTGGAGCAAATGAGAAATGATGAGTAAATACCATAGTCTATAATTGCATTTACACTCATAACTAAGCTAGTCTATGATATAACATGCTTTTGAGGTAAATATATATACAAATATATACATGCAAACACACACACACATATGCACATACATATAACTACCTTTTACTAATGTTCAGAAGAAAAAGTAGACTCATTTATGGATAAAAATGTGTAACAAAGTCAACTGAGAAATAGTTCCCTTGATATATTTGCTGAAGTCCAACATAAAATTGATTTGGAAAAAAAAAGCTAAAATCTTGAACAATTAAGACAAGAGAAACCTTGAAGAAATAGCTTTTGGCTTAACGAAAAGGCGAGTATACTTAGAAAAAAGGAGATATTTTTCTAATGTTATAATACAGAAGCTGATTCTAGCTCCTAGTTGAAATCATGACATTGGATACATTTTACTTGTTAGATAAAATAATGCAAATTTGAACTGTTTATCCTCCACCCTCCAACTACAATAAGCCAAAATTGTTTGGCTTATTCTTAAAAGTTTTTCATGAAAGGTTCTCCAAAGATTCTAAAATTACTTAGATTTGGCTACTTTGTTCATTTTAAATGCACTATTGGTATAAAATGGAATAGTGTGTTAAATGAAAAGAATTCTTATTTAATGATTACAGTAAACTAAAATGATCTGTTCTTTCTCTTTCTGAGCCGATTCTGTTTTTGAACATAATACAAATGTATTTGTGGTTTGAGACATTTGAAAGTTTACTCTTACTCATTTCAGCTAGCCTACATCCTTTCTCTTCACGCTCCTGCTCCCCCTCAGCACCAATCATCTCGAACAGGAAGAGCTGTTTCTCTAAAATACAGAAGCCGGCTAGGAGAGAATAAATGTAGCGTCAAACAGCCCTGAGAAAAACTCTGTACTCTGTCACTTATGAATCAGTTTTGCCATGTAATCTTCTCTTCTTCGGTTTCCTTATCTGTGAAATTGGTATCCCAATGATACAGGGATTATGAAAAGTATAGATAATAAATATAAAACACTTAGCGCAGTAAGTGGCACCATTTTAATACTCAATAAATATCAGAGGCTGTTTTTATTACACATACTTTTAGTTGGTAGAATCAGAATGTATTTCACAAGGTGCCTGCAGCATAGAAAATGAAATGAAGTAAACATAACTTTTGTTGGTCTCAGTGGTAACAGTTTGTCTGTTTACCAATAACATTTTGCCTTCTATCTCCATGTCTTAAAGAATTCTGGAGCAGACGCCCTGGAGTTGAATTTGTCGTGTCCGCATGGCATGGGAGAAAGAGGCATGGGGCTGGCTTGTGGGCAGGTAAGAACCTTGATAAGGACCACCTTTTCTACTGATGGCAAAAAAAAAAGAATATATATATCATTAGGTACAAAGCTACATACCACCATCATGTATATTTATGTACCACAACAGGCTCCTCCTGGATTGTTTCTATACCTGAGACAAAGAAATGGGTTGATCAGATGACTAGTTTGAAAAGTCCAGGTACTCATTGTTTAAATATTTAGTGCTTGAAAGGCAGAAAATCAAGAAAGCTGAAAACACAGCGACTGCTTAGTTTTATTGGGGGAAATATCACATTATGTGCTTGACAGGAAGTAATATAACATGAAGTGTTTAAAAGTGCTGGAACAGAATTAGCTGATTTCCAATGCAGTGTTCTTTATTCATTCCTGATGCGGATCCTGTTTGCCTGGAGCAATGCACAGGACAAAACGCATTGTTCGTGGTGATTTTGCAGTAAATGGGCTACAGCATAAATTGCATTTTACACTTTTTAGCATATGATCGTCATTCCCTAACTGTATTTGGGGAGTTGCCAAAAAAAATTTTATGCTATTTTTATTTTTGGATATAATAAATGGAACCCTTATGCTAAAATACTTTCAGCCACTTAATTAACAAAACAAAACAAAAAATGAATCTATTGAAAATACCAGGTTTTTATGTAACTAGACACAGTGTTGTTTGTTAAGAAGGAATGTAAACTTAAAACTCCAAAAGGTAAAAAGTGTTTTGCATCGAATTTATCTTTTAAGCCCAGAGGAACAGGGTTTGAATGAAATAACATAGAAGGTTGTAATTTATGACAGATTTTTCTAAAGCTGGAGATTTTACTTGTGTCTCCATATCATTGCATGTTACAGGGACTTGAATGTGGTAGGTGTATTTAATGCCCCCTCCTTTTTTTGAAGTCATTGGATTGATTTGAATTAAACTCAATGGTACTCAATGTAGGAGGAAAAATGATTTCTGCTTAGTCAAATGAATATAGATGGCTATTTTCATGTTATCATTCAGGGTAGATTTGAGAGTACTTTTTAAATGTTTAGCTAACACTCAGAATCAATTTGAGAATTAGAAAGATACCATTCGTATGCGGCAGCAGGGGAGGTGAGTAGCCTCCACAAGTGGGGAAGTCTATCCCTGTTCTACTCACAGCAGGCTGCTCAGAGGGATCAGTCAGTCACACAGAAGCCTGGGGCTCACTCTGGGGCTGAGGTTGGCATCTCCATCCTGGTTTTCTTAACTGGCCTTCTGAAGGGGGCCGAAGTCCTCCCCGTCAGTCCGAATCAACTTGGTGGCAGTGAGTTTGGGTTCTGGAAACGTGTGAGTTGGTGGGATGTGGAGTTTGTCCTCCACTACGGGGCACAGAGGGGACATTCCAGTTTCGCTTCTCTGTCCCATGGTGGTATTTCATTCCTTTTGTTGAAAGCACCCGTGGCTAAGCAAGAATGGCTCGTATTGGCAGAGCCCAAGAAATGCTAGTTTGTGAAGGACACACACTGATATTTGTCAGAGAAAGCATGCTAGCATTTTCCTCTTTAAACACTTATTTTTATCCCTTTACCTGAAGTATTTTCTCATAAATGCTTAATAAGTGAAATTACAGGCTTTATACCTAGTGTTTTGCTTTTTTTTTAGCAATCAGTAGAAATTAGCCTTGTGTATCTGTGCCCATGTGCATACATGTGTGAGCTTATTGCTAATATCTTTCTAAATGTTTTCACACGTACCTAAAAATTGATGAAAGTGATGAACCGAGGAAGGTCATAGCCTCTACTCGACAATATTAAATAAATAAACCCGATGCTGCCAAGTTGATTACAACTCATGCCGACTCCATGTGTATCAGAGCAGACTACCCCCCAGGGTTTACCGTGGTTGTAACCTTACGGAAGGAGCCCTGGGGTATAGTGGTTTACTTGTTGGACTGTGTGTCAGTTTGAGTGAACTAGGGAAACAAATCCACAGAAACTCATACAGAGAGAGTTTTATATAAAGGGTAGGTGTACATTAAGAAAGCATCCCAATCCAGTGCTTTCCAAGCCCATTTAAGTCCAAAATTAGCCCATGTCTGACACCAATCTACAAAATCCTCCTCAATCGCACAAAACACACACAATGATGTCAACAGCCGGAGGAAAGCGGAGTCAGTGAACGTGTAAGCATCTCAGCGCTGGCAGGGGTCACCACACGGCTGCTCCAGCATCCAGGGCTGCATCAAGGTAGGTCCATGCGGCTTCTCCGCTGGAGCAGGGAACTGGCTAAGGCAGCTGACCCTGGTCCGACCACCAGAAAGCGAGACTTGAGAACTAGAAAGGTGAGGCTCACCGAGCCATTTATCTCTCCGCCCTTCAATTAACCCCACATGTATTTATCGGCCAGGTTGACACAATAAATCTTAACTATCTCAAACTGGGAACTGCAAGGTCAGTAGTTCAAAACCACCAGCTGTGCTTCAGGAGAAAGTTGAGGTTTCCTACTCCCATACAGAGTTATAGTTTTGGAAACTCACAGGGGAAGTTTTATCTTGTCCTATAGGGTCACTAGAAGGCCTGGAGGGGTAGTGGTAAAGGGTTGGGCTGCAATCCACCTGGTGGGCAGTTTGAAACCATCAGCAGGTCTGAGGAAGAATGACTTGGCTTTCTACTCCCTGCTACAGTCTCAGAGACACACAGGGGTTCGCTGTGGGTCAGCAAGGACTTGATGAAAGTGAGTGAGTTGATGGGGTCAGTATGAAAGGAAATCAACACGCCGGTCACGAATTTGGTTTCAGTTTTATAGCCTTTCTCAAGTAGATAAAAACAAAACCAAACAAATTCACGCGGGTGATTCATAGGAACCATGACCTAGTAAATTCTGACTCAGTAACCCTATAGGACAGGATAGAATTGCCCCGGTCTTTTTCTTGGACTAATTCATTATAGAAGAAGAAAGCCTCATCTTTCTCTGAGCTGCTGGTGGTTTCAAACTGCTGATCTTGGAGTTAGCAACCTACAGTGTAAGCACTCTGCCCCAGGACTCCACTGAAGCAGATAGGTAAGTCATTTCCCCTCAGTGCTGCGGGGAGGATTTTAGCTGACAGACTATTAGTAGCAGGAAAAAAAACCTGTTGTTGTTGTTTACCACTCAGGCACTGCTACAACATAAAGGCATCATATTTATTCATAAATGTTATGGAAATAAAAAGTCTCTAGCTGACCTCTGAATGCATATTGTGTATTTCCTGCAAAGTGACACTTTATATAAAATCTTAAACTCTCCTTCCTTACTAAGAGTTGAAGGCAGTGTCGCTCTGTATCCTCTCTAACAACCATCAGCATCACCCGCATCAAGACACTGCCCCTCCCGAGCCAGCCATTCCCCTTTCTCAAATGAGGGCCTTAAACTTGAAAACCCAATCCCCCTTTCACTTTAAAGGTCTGTCACCTTAGTTTCATACTTTAGCAGGTGACTATATTATTTTCCTATTACGTGTAACCAGATTGATAAAAAACATAAGTAAACATAGTGTGCTACTCTTTAAAACAAAGCAAAACAAACAAACAACTTGAGCATTTCCCTTGATGTGCCTCCTCAGAGTCAGTGTTTTACTTATGTGATTCTGGGTTATGTTTACATCAATATGTTCTGCTTATTTTTTTGGTGTATTTTACTATATGTGACAAATGGATACTCAAGTAGTGATTGCTCAAGTAAAAGTTTGACTAGTTTCATAGAAATCTTGTATTGAGTGTGGTCCAAACAGAACCCTTGTGCTTTCATATTCCAGGCCTGCTCTCCAGTCTGATTTGTCATGCTAGTTAAGGGTATTCCAATAACCTTGTAACGCTACCTCCAGTAACCTTGATCCTTGATGTTTAGCAAAAGTTTTGGTTGGTCCAGTATCCAATGGAAAGATTTGAAGTAATTTTATGCACACAGGCACACATATACATACACACAAACATATATAGATATATATGTTATATACGCGTGTTTTTGTCACAGTTTACAAATCTAGTGTGCATGTTATTATACATACGAAGAAAGCAACTGTGATAGTTCCTGATGAATAAGTATTCCGATATCAGTGTTAAATATGCTTATATGCACAGCACTGTGTTATTTCTGATGTCATGCATAGTTCTGAAATCCTATGTCTCAAAACATAAAAACTCAAGAAGAACTTGACTCAGATACATAGACACTTTGTCTGGTAGAAAGAAGGGAGCTTCTCTGATACTTTAACATTCAGATCTCAAATTATTTACACATGATTTAAACCCGTGTTTCTAAAAGTGGACAATTCCGCCTCCGGGGAGTGCTGCAAGCATCCAGGGGGCTGCTGGAAGCATCCAGAGGGCTGCGAAAGCAGATACCTACACTTTACCCTGGATCTTGGGTCAGAGTGCAAAGTTTTTAATGGCCATGTGGCACTGAGTAAGTTTTTTCCTGAAAAGGGGGACTATACGCCAAAGAAGTTTGGGAACCTATGAACCATTTCCATCATATACAAACATAGTATGTAAATATAACTGAACTCTAACAAATTCTATAAATTCTATCTAAAATGGCACTTATTGGAGATCTGTTCCTCTCTCTGGATGCTAAGTGTTCTTACAGCACTAATTGAATTGGAGTTGTTTTTACTTCTGTTTTCCAGAACCACAGAACCTTTAAAATGATCATCAAAATAGGGCTGAGTAGACCGCATACAGCTTTGTTGTTCTTGTGCATCTGATATATCCCTTTTAACTTGGAAATCATTATCGATATACTTTTTAATAAATAGATTTTACAGAAAAAGTCATCCTAACAACTCTTGAAATAGTAAGATGACATGGTCACACTTAGCCTATCTTCCCACAGAGCATAAGAAACTAAAGCTTGGAAAGGCTCCAAAGCCCTGTACCTGGGCCCTGAAGGAGTCAGTAGACATTTGCATAGGAGTACGTGCTCAGAAATGTCTTCTTTACTTAACCTTTAGACTTAACGCAGACTTTTGACCTTTTTACATTGAAGTGCTCTGGATT